TTATCTTGTAAGAAGAAAGGGTGTAGTAAGTGTACATAGCATCATACATAGTGTGACCCAATCTATCACTTCTATAGATACAGTAGAGTCTTATTTTAATTGTTTTTTTTTGTTTTTTTTCAACAAAAGACTAGCCTGACAGGTGGTACAGGTTAGAAAAATGTTTATCTGAAACACTCTTTGAGAGTTGCGTACTAGATGTTGCTATGGATTATGAGATTGGAAGTTCCAATACCTGGTGTTAAAAGAATGACAGATATATGTAACACTGGTAAGGATGCTAAATCATAATGAAGGGTTAGTGTGGCAACATATCGCTGATAAAGACATAAAAGCTCATCTATAGCAGCTACAAAAAAGTAGCCACGCTTTCTACAGGCAGATTTAGTACAAAACCCTTTGTTGCCGCCTCCTGTATTCTTTGTTGTTGAATTTTTATTTTTATTTAAATCTCAGGACAAAAAAAAAGTGTTTACTTTTATCGGTCCTAAGGGAAAAAAATACAGGGAAGTTTATTCTGAATTTATTTTTATTTTTTTAAAAAGGTGGCGGAAATAATTAGGGATAAATGTGTTAGTGTAGAAGTTTCTATTCACAGAGAGCAGCTGGCATGTAAATTAGGCATTATTACGTGAGACACCTGACCATATATTCATGTTTTATTCCAGGACGTATACACAGCATTATTTCTCGACACTGTCTTTCTAAAGTCTCTGCTTCTGTACAGATTATGAAGCGGAGACAGGAATAATCATCCTTCTCTAGCCTTTTATTTTTACTACAAATGACGGAGTATCTGTCGGAACCTTTCCCTTTCAATCCGGCAGTTTGTAAATCTTGAATCGCGCTTACGCTAAACAGCCGGCATCCTCTTGGTGCTTAGATATTTCCAAGGCTTACTTGCCGCGGGGTGGATATTAGTATTTCTATTTAATTTCTCTTGCTCTCTCACCTGCTCCCGCTGTCAAATGTGTCACTATGAGGTATGAAGGCTGATAACGCCGCTCCTCAGACTGGAACAGAAACAGCTAACATTATGAGAGAACTTACTCTGAGAGTGACTGGTGAAATGTCCCTAGAGGATCCCTTCGACTGACTCCAACAGCTGGGCGAATCAAATAATAAAACAACACAGGTTCCCCGAGCACCTTCTCTCCTTTTTCAGCATTGAACAAAAGTGAAGTGAGCAAAGCACTGTAAGCGATGGAGTATTTTGTCTCCTGAACAAAAACCTTCTTCTCAGGTAATCATTGGAGTTCCTTGTGAAACATATTTCTCATAGCATTGAGCTCCGGAGCTCCAACCCGTGCTGTGGCGTGGTATCATGACTCTAGCATTTGAATCTATTTTGTGTGTTTATGATTAAAGCAGAGATATTGAAATGCTCCCATATGAGGAGATATGTGTATGATGTTATTGTTCTTATTCACATAGTGCCAGCATATGCCAAAGCGCTGTACAAAGGAAATGTAAAAAAAGGCGGGGGCGGAGCCAAGCAACAGAGCTGAATGGCCGCATGTTCACAGAGCTCCAGGCCACCAAACAAATTACCAAGCGATTAAAGGGGTCTTTCACACCCCAAAACTCGGCTAACTGACACTGCAACTATGGGGAGAAAAGCCAAGGGCAGAGAAGCCAAATATGGGCATGAACATCGGCGATTTATGGTGCCAGGCCCGGAGTGGAGCAGAGCCTAACATGGCCGTCATCTCAGAGGACTTCTCACTGGGCACACCAGGGGGTCAAACGCCCGAGCAGAAAGCTGTGGAGGTGGCTAGTGGGACCCAGATAAGTTATCACTCCCATCTTAGGTTTTGACTTTTTACCCTGGGAGGGCTACAGGACACACCTGACATTATAACCACTGTGGTGTGATGTAGTGGTTATGGTGCATTGAGCTTGTCTGAAATAATTTGCACATATTTTAACTCCATACTCTATGTACGGCCTGTACCCTGTGCAGTTTGTTTCTCTGCATTTAATAAGATGTTCAGCCTGTTTTCAAACGTTTTCTGCAGGTAGAATGCACCAAAGTAATTTCTTGCACGGGGCTATAGATAGTGGCCTACATCACTATCCACGGCTGCCACATGTATATTAAATCGCATTGTTTATTGTCTCTCGGATAAATACGCCCTGAAAGCGAGGCACAGATATTTGGGGTATCATTTAATGATATTTACGGCTAAATATCGCTTTGACGCTTGTAGCTTGTTGATAATGATCATTAACATTCCAACTTGTGAGACGGGCGGTCATTTTCTGGGTATGTCTATGGGAATTGTTACTTATCTCTGCTTTACAGGTGTTCCCCCGTCCCTTAGTGCGTACATGGATATATGTGAGGTGTACAATGTAAACCAATTACTGCCTACTGGAGCTTAGTTCATCTCTCGGAGCCATGTGTCGGATGATTTCAGGTGATGATGAGTATTTCTGTGCTCTTTAGGCCAAGACTCCTGACTTTGGGTGTCTGCGATGAAGAGATTTCTCGTTCCTGACTTACTAGAAATCAGCTTGTCACTTTAGCTTATTACCTGTGCCAGTTTAGCGATGGAGCCGTGTCTGTGTGATTCCCTGGAGCTGGCCAGGGCCGCTGCTATGCTTATTCTCCTTTCATATTTTGTTGAGAGATGACTGTGTACAGCAAAAACCTAACTTGGTCATCCTTATGTGATAATACTTATCCTCTCAAACAAACGGACATGCAGAAAGAAAAAGAGAAGAAACTCATTTCATAGGGTCAAGGAAAATCCATGTATAGATGAAGCTCAGCAGGGTCTGCCGGAGAGCTAGATTCTCAGCCCAGCAGCAAATGACATGGGACAGAAGTGATTATATACACCTCTTCGGTTCTCCTTACCCACGTCTCTGTAGATATTAAAAATTAAACAAGGCTTGGCATCTCATATCCAGGATTCCAACATGTATTAGACCACATCTGTCCAGGGTACAAAACCTTCTGTTTTCTGGGTTATATATAGGGCTGAGTGTAGAAATAAAAAATGACTGATTTTACACTCGATTAAGCTGCAATTCTCTCAGCAGAATTGTAAAAAGGCCATAATACAACAGTCCGATGCTAACAGTAATTTGCCATTATAAACCTGTGACTGGTAAACAGAGTGGATGATGTCCGTAAACAGCACTGGTGTGACAAATCACAGTTGGATTTATTTGTTTATGTATATGTAAACTGTCTATTACTTGGCATGGTGTTTGCTTTGTACTGTCTTTTTTTTCTTCTAAGCAGTAGGGAGGCTTAGTGAGGGCAAGTTGAGCTGCTCCTCTAAGCATTGCTATGAGGCTGCTTCCAAATAGGTAGGACAATTGCTGGTGGTAGAATACCCAGGATACACAGCTGCTCAGCACCATCACCACTACATCCCCGTTTAATGGTTTTGGTGCAAATGTGCTAACCTTTTCCTCAGTTATTGTAATATATTAGGGATTCTGAGTAATGACGTTGTTTACATTTGTCAAACAACACGCCTCTACTGACTGTCAGACCGACGGCCTTTAGAGACACTTCTTCATCACCAACAAAAAAAAGTCTCTTGACCCTGGTGCTTTGCCAAGCGATTGTCCTATGTGTAATATTTGTACTAAACTCATAGACTATCTGAACTCCAATTCCTTACTCAACTTGTTACAGTCTGGATTCCGTTCCCAAAATTCAACTGAGACCGCCCTGACCAAAATTACAAACTCCTTAGTGACAGCAAAATCCAAAGACTACTACTCGCTTCTTATTCTTCTCGATCCTTCTGACACTGTTGATCACCCACTTCTCCTTCTTACCCTTTGTAGCCTTAGCCTCGGTGATACTGCTCTTCCCTGGTTATCTTCCTACCTTCCTGACCGATCCATCGGTGTCTGACCCTCTGTATATACTGCTACTTTAAAAATGTGCGCGTGTTATTATGCTGTCCCAATAAAGGTCCTTTACCTATATAATCAGATTGAAATCTCTCACTCTTTGATATCTGTATCCTTCATTCCCCTTCTCTTCTAAGCCTGACAAGTTGCTGGGTATGAAGAAATATTGTAATTCTCTTTAGCTTTTGGCAAATGCAATATGGCAGGATTTCGTTAGTTATCCCGGGTGGATTGCAACACAACTCCAAACAGTAAATTGGTCCTGTACGTACGTATGTTTATTTTGTCACAGTGATTATTACTAGGCTCAGCTTACTGCGCTTTTCAGAAGGGAGCTGTGGATTTTCTTAGTTGTGTTGCACACAGGAAGTCCATGCAAAAATACATATATCACTAACCTTCAAGAGTACTGATGAGTGAGTGATGGATATATAGAGTTGATCTTGTTTTTGTTTAAATAGTAGTGGCATTAGGTTAACAAATGTGTACATACATGCAATTATCTACGTGTATATGAAAAGGAAATGTAGATAAAATAAATATAAATGTCCAAAGAAACAAAAGTCCAGAATGTGCTACAAATTATTTCGTGGCCAATAGTCTCTTAAAATAAAATATAAAGTATTAAATAAATGTAGCTGTTTGATCTGAGAAGTGTTGCAGCATACACTGTTGCAGAAACAATATTGTAGTTTTGTAATAATCAGATCTCCTTGCTAAACTATGTTTGTCCCTTGTTGCTTCAAACTCCCTTACTACATTCATTGTCCTTATTGTGTCTTTTAGTTAGCTGTGCTGAGAGGAGAGTCCTTGACTCCACTACGTTTCCTGTAACTAATCTGTTCATTATCCGTATTGTTGTGTATTCCTGATTTCATAGCTCTTTCTGTCCTCAGGAATTATATGCTTTTACAGCGGCTAAAAAGCATACAGCCGCATCCCCAGAAATATTTGGTAAGTTTTATGATTGTTCTTCAAGAAATATTTGCAATACATTTCTTTCTACTATTGAGTGTCGTCAGCAGGGCCAGATTAAGAGCCCAGTGGGCCTGGTGCTGACAATTATGATGGGCCTAATTACAAAATCTTATTGACCAAAACCACTAAAACAGTCCTACCTCCTAAGCGTCATGTATCTGATGGAGATGGTGCTGGAGGGAAACTCATAGGATGCAGCTTTGAGAAAACACACACCCCATGGTAATCTCACGCTTTCATCTTTCAAGTAAACCCATAGCCCCTAACAAAAGTGTCCAGTAAAGCAGGAAGTCTATGGATGGGGTAAAAGAGTGGGCCACTGACACAAATCACATAACCAGAACTGCCAAAAGGGGCGAACATACACAAAAAGGGGGCATGTCTGTGTCCCCATGTCTCCTAGTCCCTTAGTGTCTGTGTCCCTATGTATCCCAGTGTCCCCATGTCACTAGGATACTAGGGGACATCGAGAGACATGGGGACACTGGGAGACATGGGGACACTGATACTCTTGGGGACACTGGGAGACATGGGGATACTGGGTGACTTTGAGACACGAGGGGACACTGGGAGACATGGGGCGCTGAGACACTCTGATACATAGGGGACACTGTGATATATAGGGGACACTGGAGACTTGATAAAGACAAGGGTACAGGTTAAAACATTGCAGTGTCCAATAAACCTGCTTAAATCTATCACAGTGAGTGCTGGTGATTTTTTTCTTTTATACTAGGGGACATTGAGAGACTAGGGGACACTGAGTCACTACGGACACTGAGAGATACCAGGGACACTGGGAGACATGGGGCACTGAGACACTCTGATACATAGGGGACACTGTGATACATAGGGGAAACCGGAGACATGATAAAGGCCTGGGTACAGGTCAGAACGTTGCGGTGTCAAAAAAACCTGCTTAAATCTATCACAGTGAGTGCCTGAGATTTGTTTCTTTTATACAAGGGGCCACTGAGACACTAGGGAGTGCCCCATGGCTCTCAGGTCTCAAAGTCACCCAGTGTCCCCATGTCTCCCTGTATCCCCCAGTGTTCCCATGTCTGTGTCCCCATGTTGCCCAGTGTCCCCTAGTGTTTGTGTCCCCATGTCTCCCAGTGTTACGATGTCACTAGGACACTAGGGGACACTTAGAGACATTGGGACACTGAGACACTCACTGGGGGAGACGTTGGGACACTGAGATACATGGGGACACTGAGACAAGGATACTCTGGGAGACTAGGGGACTCTGGGAGGCTAGGGACACAGACACTAGGGACACTGAGAGACACTAGGGACACTGGGAGACATAGGGACACTGAGAGACACCAGGGCCACTGGGAGACATGGGGACACTGAGACACTAGGGACACTGGCTGGGAGACTTGGGGACACTGAGTGACTAGGGGCCACTGGGAGACATGAGGCCACTGTGTCCTTAGTGTCTCAGGGTCCCCATGTCCCCCAGTGTCCCTATGTCTCACAGTGTCTCAGCGTCCCCAAGTCTCTCACGGTCTCCATGTCTCGCTTGCTCGGAGCTGCTGTCTGGACTCTCTGTACAGAGCTGCTCCCCCACGGATCAGTGTTTAGAGAGAGGCAGGGAGGGATATTCTGTAACTTCTTATCCCTGCCTCTCTCCACACAAACAGCGACCCCTACCGGCCGGCGCTGCTATTGCAGAATAATCACTAGGCAGCCTCAAATACCTGAGAAATACTTCTGAGAAATACCTGGCAACCATAAGAAATACATGAGAAATACCTGGAGTAGTGTGTAAAAAAAAAAATATATATTTCTTTTTTTAAATTAATGGGCCTATTCCATGGCCTGGGCCTGGAGCTGCAGCTCCATCAGCCCCTATGTTAATCCGGCCCTGGTCGTCAGCACCTTCATCACAACTAACAAGTGGGCGACATTGTCAGTACAGAGTTCTGCCATTTTCAGCTTTAGACTGTAATAAAGAGTGCTAGTGCATGTTTAAAATAAAGAACTGTGACTGTGTGACATGTCCCTCTTCCCCTCTCAATGACAGCAATGGCTTTGCACTCCCAGGTCCCAGTCCTGCAAGCTTGGTGTTCTATTTTATTGCATTTCAATCTGCTGGGCTTAGAAATTAGGACACATTGTCACCGGACGTGAGATGCTGGCATCCTGGATGGATAACGTCAGTATAGGCCATAGAGTGTGTCTGAAACTGCTCCGGTTACAGAATGCAGGCAAACGTGTGTCTGACCCATGATCTGTCGCATACCTCAGAATACCAGTGCATTCTTCTACCTTCCTATTTCTCACATGTTCTGGATACATTATTATGGCATTTTGCGTAGACAAGCGATGGTGACAGGGTGAGACTGAGTCCGTTAGCTCACTAATTAGTATTAAAGAGTTATTTTCTTTCCTGCTGACATACACTGCGGTTTGAAGGATTTTAGTACAAAAACATACAATTCCAGACTCCTCTGCCATCTTCACCTCCCCATGATTTATTACTCTGATTTTTTATTTATCATTCTTAAAACATACTATATAGCACCATCCTGTGACTGAGACCACCTCTCTAGTTATCTGATTAGTCCCTGCTGTGTCTATCACATTCCCAATGTCCATCTGTACTGTGCCTATTGTAACTCACCTCACTGCCCCAGAATCACCTCCTGCTGTCTGTCTATACTAATCTTTTCAACAACCTCCTGTTCTTATCATGGTTATTGTAAATTAGCTTCCTGGCCCAGAATCACCCTCCTGCTGTCTGTCTGTACTGTGCTCATTGCAACTCACCTTCCTGCCCCAGAATCGCCCTCCTGCTGTCTGTTTGTACTGTGCTCATTGCAACTCATCTTCCTGCCCCAGAATCGCCCTCCTGCTGTCTGTTTGTACTGTGCTCATTGCAACTCACCTTCCTGCCCCAGAATTGCCCTCCTGCTGTCTGTCTGTACTGTGCTCATTGCAACTCACTTTCCTGCCCCAGAATCCCCCTCCTGCTGTCTGTCTGTACTGTGCTCATTGCAACTCACCTTCCTGCCCCAGAATCACCCTCCTGCTGTCTGTCTGTACTGTGCTCATTGCAACTCACCTTCCTGCCCCAGAATCGCCCTCCTGCTGTCTGTCTGTACTGTGCTCATTGCAACTCACCTTCCTGCCCCAGAATCACCCGCCTGCTGTCTGTCTGTACTGTACTCATTGTAACCGAACAATTCTGATATAAGTGTCTGGTCCTGACTACTCTGCTGTTAATACTTAAATTCCTCATACTTTTGATACAGTTTAAACTAGAGAATCACATTTTCATTACCGTCAGAAAATTACAGTTTGAAATGATTGTGTATGAAAATTGAATTTTGTAGAAATAACTAGAAAACATTCAGTTTGGGAGATAATTCCTCCCCAGTGCTCACACCTGTAATTAACAGTTTTTAAAGGAAAGGTCGCTATGACCGTCGGCAAGTTATGTGTGCACAATATTTAATTACATTTTCTCTCCCACACTACAGCGCTGCGGAACATGTTGGCGCTTTCTGAACAAAATAATAATCTTATTGTTAAATCACACTGAATGGCAATTTATCACAACAGAGCAGAGGTGTCATTGTCGTCTTCTTAGCAAAGCATTAAGTAGAGCTGGGATTGTCAGATTACACAATATACATTCATTATTTTTTTGTGATCAGTAAAATTTCATATAAATAGTATTTTTATGAATGCTGAAGTAATTTGGATGTAGAAATTATCGTATTTTTTTTGTTCTGCTTTAGAGAAGACTAGTAAAAACTGCAATGAAAGACAAGGAAAAAAGAACTAAAAACTAAAAACTCACCTGACCCTCTTGCGTGGCCTACACACTTGGTTGGCGCGTGGGAGACAGTCACTCCCCCGCTGACATACATGGCTGGAAAATGGTTATGAAACCCACGTCCCCCGCCCTCTGGAGCAGTGGTGGTCATCCCAGTCCACCCTATGGAGAACCCCCCACAACCTGGCAATTTCACTGGGGTCCGAACCAAGCAGCAGCACTACTTTCAAAATGGCGGAGGCAGCGTGCTCCATGGGCGTCCGCAGGAATTTTTCCAGGGGGGGGCATAATTGTATTGACATCCATGCTTGGTACCTTTTTGACAGTGTCATGAAAGGGAAGGGGCATAGCCATTATCACATAAAGCCAGGGTGAATAGCGTTTTCACAACTATGGTGTCAGGAATATATGTTTGTATTCCTGACACTATAGTGTTCCTTTAAGCAAATTAAAGGACCATTCTGGTCACCATAACAACTTCACCTAAATAAAAATGCTATGATGCCAGGAAGCCCCTGTGTACTCTCTTTCCTTTAAGGGGTTAAATCGCTCTTAAATGGTTTAACTACAAAGGCTTCCTCCAGCTCCAGGTCGCTCAGTGGTATTCGGCTTCTGAAACAGAGTGTCAGGAAGTGCAGATTGATGTCAGGCATGAGTGCCGCTGATTGGCTACAGTGGACAGTTGACGCTCTAAGCCAATCGCTAGTTCCCGGTTCATAAAATATTTTTTTTTTATGAATGGGGAGCTACTGATTGGCTTAGAGTGCCAGCTGACCGCTCTAGCCAATCAGCAACACCCCTACCCAGCGGCACTCTGTGCTTCCTGACACTCAGTAAATAAAAGTGAACACATTAACACTGGAATCTTTTTTACCTGGGGAGATGAGAAGGTCCAGAGTTTCCCTGCCAGGCCCAGGTACCAAAGCCTTATGATGTGGTGTCCAGAATAAAGTGGAGGGTTCACTTAATTTGTCCTTCCTGCTCCAATCTCCTTTTCCTCTCCTTCATTTGACAGTCTTCTTTTTCTTCTGACACTGTTTTCTATCCTTGGCTCCTTCTGCTCCTTTACCTTTCTGCTTATTTTGTGCCCTTCTGCTCCTTGCAGACCCTTTCTGCTCCTTTTTCTACTTTACCTTTGTGCTCCTTGCAGACCCTTTCTGCTACTTCTCCTACTTTACCTTTGTGCTCCTTCTGATTCTTTCTGCTCCTTTACCTTTGTGCTCCTTCTGTCCCTTTCGGCTCCTTGCTGCCTCTTGCAGGCCCTTCCTGTTCATTCTCCTACTTTACGTTTGTGCTCCTTCTGCCCCTTCCAGCTCATTTCTGACCCTTTCTGCTCCTTGATGTCCCTTCCTGCTCATTTCTGTTCCTTCTCCTTTATGCTCCTTCTCTTACTTTACCTTCCTGCTCCTTGCTGACTTTTCATGTAGGTTGTCTCCCCCATCCCTCACTTCCATAGGCGTGCGCACGGGGTGTGTCGGGTGTGCCTGGGCACACCCTAATCCCCGCGGCACGCCAATGGATTGAGACCGGCAGGGGAGATCTCTGGATCTCCCCGGTCGGCTCATGCAGAGCC